TCCTGAAATCCTGTATTGATACTTTGCTCTCCTTTTTTGGCTGACGGAAGTCTCCTTCAAGCTTCTTTCTACCATCACAGACTCTAGTAGTCTGATAGCTTCTTGCTTTGTTGTATGAGAAAATGTTCCAGGTTCAACTTCATTCTTTTTTTCCTCCCTGGGATAATTTTTTCCAAGTATCTCTGGTTCCTTTTTAAAAGGAATGACAATTAAGAACAGTCAGGGTGGGAGTGGTGCTCGTTAATACTGAGTTGTTATTTAGGTTCACTTTATGGATGATCAGATCAGAACTTTTGGAAAACCTAGGGAGAGCTGTCAAGAGCTGTTGGGCAGTGATGGCACTTGTTGGGGAACTGGATTTGATATCTTAATCATGCAAGGTTCTGTTAACCTTCAGTTTCAACCACAGAACAAAAAAGGTTAATTGGGCAGAGCAGATCAGGCTGTCTAAATGGACCATGCAAATAACATGAGGTTTATAGTATTATCACAAAGCAGAAGCTATTACGTGGTCTTGACAACTACTAGCTTAATGAGGGGAGACATTCTAGGTAGTGTTGGGATTGTTTGAAATTGTCCCAAGAAAAGTTGTGGGTCACACATGCACTGAGTCTCTGAATCAAAGATAGGGGTCTGGGCCCTGGAGGTAAAGGGGTTAAAGTTTTTATTTCGTTGGGTTTTTAAATTTCAATATAGTTAGCAATAAAGGGTAAATTAACATTTCAGAAAGTCTAAGGCTACCTTCCAGCCAGTCCATGCCAAAGAGCCAGTTGCTCCCTGACTCAAGAATTTGGCTGTTAGAGGTCCTGTTTAATGCTGTGAAAGTTCTGAATGCTGGTTTTGAGAAAATTGTTGAGCCTCATCTGTGCTAAGGGTCTGCTCTTAACCAAACTAGCTTCTGTTGAAGACTTGGGTTCTTACAAGGAATGGAGGTGCTCCCATCTTTCTATTTTCTACAGCCTTATGTTGGGGAGAAGTGGAAAATAAATGTCAGATTGTAGTGCTGTTAATTTACCTTCACACTTGAAAAAGAGGAGGAATCTAAAATGAAGTAATTATAAACACCTACTGTGTCCCAAAGTGTCTAGGATTAGTAAGCAAAGCAGTCACTGCCCTGTAGGACTTCCATCCCGTTGCACTAGCAGTCAGTATACATTCTCAACTCCCTTTAAATTTTCAGTTCTGTGTAAGACAACAAGGAGGTGTTATTAGCGTACACCTCCTAAGTGTAATTAGCACAGCCATGCGCCCCAAACTAGTGGCCTGCATTGGCCTTCCTCACTGCCACAATTGGAACATTTCCAATTCATTATCACCTACAGTAAACTTGAAAAAATGGATTTCGGGCCTTAGTTTTAAAGGCTTTGACAGACTAATGGTATGTCCACACTGTTGAGTACTACTTGGCATTAAGAACGGACAACTGGTAAAAGCAACAATGGATGAGGATGGATCTCAAAAACATGGCTGAGCAAAAGAGGCCAGACACAGAATGTCACATAATATGTGGTTTAGTTTATGTTACTCTAGAATCTAGTGCCAACAAATTACTGTTAATTTGGGACCAGTGATGGATGTGGGGAGCCGATGGCTCAGAAAGGTGGGGTATATTTGTTTATATTTTGAGAATGTGGGTCGGGGGGTTAGAGAGGGGGAATCCCAGCAGGCTCCACACAGCACAGAGCCCCATGCAGGGCTCGAACTCCTGAACCTTGAGATCATGACCTGAGGTAAAATCCAGATGCTTGACGGATGCTTCACTGACAGCCTTCAGGTGCTCCTAGAAAGGTGTTTACATAGATAGAAACATTTGTCAAACTGAACACACAACACAGATGCACTTAAAAAATGTACATAAATAATGGCTTAAAAAAAGGCTTTTGGCTACCTGTTGGCCTCTGAGAACCTGCAAGTCATGATTGACCATTTGCCTGTATTTAGCATCAACTTTTGCCACTCACCTCTGGCTTAATCCTGTCACCTAGTCTTTTATTACTTGCAGGCACTTGATGTCTTTTGCTTGGAATATTCCTTTCCATGGCTGGCTCTCCCCACCTTTGTGTCTTAGCTCAAGTATTACTAAGAAATGTTTTCTATGCCTTTGGTTTTCTTCAAAGCACTGATAACAAGCTAGAATTTCTTTGACTTAACTTGCTTAGTGCCCATCTTCCCTAGAAGTGAAGTGGCTTTTTAATATTTTTTTTCTTTTTAAGTTTATTTTTGGGAAGGGAGCAGAGAGAGAGTCCCAAGCAGGCTCTGTGCCACAAACTGGGAGAGCATCACCCGAGCCAAAACCAAGAGGCAGATGTTTAACAGGCTGAGACACCTACGTGCCCTAATGAAGTGGCTTATTTTAGGGCAAGAACTTGTCTGTCTTCCCTCCTGGACTGTCTGTAGGATCTCAATAAATTGTGATTGAATGAATTGAGAAGTGACTACCAAATTAGTAGTACATATTAAGTGCTATATGAACATGTCAAATTCAGATAGGAAAAGCTCCTATAAGATTATGTAGTAACTAGAAAGGCATATGAAAACTAGATTTGAGGTGTGAATTTGGAGTCAAGACATTCTGGTTAGACACCTCTTCAACTGGAAGTGGAGAATAATACTACCTACTGCATGAAATCAAAGAAGTGAAAATCTGAGAATCATAATTAGGATTATTAATAACAGCTAAAACCTTTGGAGCCTTCATTATGTGCCAGACTGACCTCATTTAGTAACTGAAAACAACTCTTGAGTTGTTACTGTTCTTAGCCACAGTTTGTAGATGAGGAAGCAGTGTCTCAGACTGTTACTTGCTGGAATTTGTAAGTAAATGTTGGAGGCAATATTCAAATGCAGGATTTCTGACTTTTGAGTTTATGCTCTTAATCAGAACTGTTCTCTTGACTGGGCTTTTTTGGTCAGTCTTACTTGGGTGATAGTCTAACTTGTGCAGCTGAAAGATATACTTTACCTGAATACTGAAAAAAGTGGCAGGCATTTTACATAGAACATAGTTGTATACTCATTCCATTTAGAAGTAACTAATCATAGTATAGAAAGAACAATATTTGCACTGAGAATGTCTAAGTATATTGAGTCCAGTGCTTCACACAGGGACCTTTTCACCCAGTACCTAGTTTTCAAAAGGTTTTCTGCTCTTGTGTCCAGTGCTGAAATAGAGGCGACCTGTTTAAGAGCCTCAGCTTTGAGTTTGCAGACAGGGCTGATTCTTGGAACGGTTGATATTTCATATTCCATAACTGAGAAATAGCGCTGTTTGACAGCAGCTACTTCAGTTTATGCTCTAGGGGAAGTGAGAACATCAACTAACCACCAATGACACCCGGAAGTATTTAGCCAAATAGCATGGATTTCTGAATTTTGCTTTTTGAGTCTGTTCTCCGGTGTCTTTCCCACTGTGACCTCTTTTCCCTAAGCATCAGGCCAAAGGAAGCCTGCCAGTAGAAGCCTCACTGGAGAGTGAGGCAGTTGTACATGACCAGAACATCTACATTTTGAATTTTGTGGAGAGGACGGGAGTGACGCCTCTGAAGCAGGGAGAGGCAGTGCGAAGAGATGTCCTCATTGGTGTCCTGGTTAAAGGAACTAAACTGCTTAGAGTGCAAATGAAGCGAGTCTCAGCCAGGTGGTCGCTGACCAGAGTCCTGCTGGTTGCCTCCTGCAGCCCTCTGGGGCGGGGGTTGCAGGGACTCCTCGGTGCCGCTAGGTGGCAGCCGCGCGTTTCCAAAGCTGGCTCGTCTATCCGGGAGCGCAGCTGGGAGCCGGAGAAGCGACCCGAGAGCCCTGGAGGGGGGTGAGGGGGAGAGAAGTCCTGGAGACCCCCTTCCCCGCAGGAGCAAGGACGGAGAGATCCGAAGGGGTCTCACTGAAGAGTGCCAGCCATCTGAGTAGGCATCTGAGACACGCCACGTTCCTGCGTGGACTCACAGGGCGGGTTAAAACGAACCCTCTTAAGCGGTGCCGCCCCGGGGGCTGGGCCTGACCCGCCCCCTCCTGGCTCCCCACTCTTGCGCTAGCGGGTGTGAGTGAGTGCTAGTAGCGAATATAGGCGAGTGAGGACGCCCCGCACCTAACTGCGTTCTTGGGCACCGCAGCCTTCCCAATTCGGGCAGCATTTGCGCCGCGGCGCGGGTCATTGCGCCTGGGCGCAGAGCTCCGACGGCTTCCAGCGCCCACCAGCCCCAGCCTCGCGGGCTCTGCCCCTTCGGAGCTGCCGGTCCCGTCGCCGAGAGTCTGAGCGCCTCCCTCCAACCCAGAGTCGCCAGGAGAAGGCGGAGGCAGTAGAGAGGCCGCGGCAGGCAGGCAAGCAGGCTGGGCCGCCTTTGATGTGGGCGCGGCGCACCCAGCCGAGCTGAGCGCCCGTCCGGCCGCGCCCCGAGGGGGGAGCCCCCGGGCCCCGCATCCTCATTGTGCCGACTCGGGCCCGGGCCCGCCCCCGGCCCCCCGCCCCCTCGCCGCCCGCGCTTAGAAAACGCCCCGGCCGCCGCCAGTGGTGGGAGGCGGCGATGCGCACGGCCGGAGAGACGCGGAGGAGGAGACATGAGCCGGCGGGCGCCCAGACGGTGCGGCCGTGACGCGTTCCTGCTGCAGCCGCGCGCCCCGGCCCTGGAGCGCTGACCTCTGGCCCCGCACCGCCCCGCGCCCCGGCCGGAGAGCGCGCCCCAGCTTCCAGCCCCGCCGCGCATGCTGCCCCCGGAGTGAGCCGAGCAGCCAGCCTCCCGCAGACGCCCGGACGGACGGACGGCCAGCAGTGAGCAAGCCTCCCCGCACCAGCCAGGCGCCTCTTGCACAGCGGCGGCCACCCCGTAGCCCCCGCGCCAGCCCGGAGGGCGCAGCGCTCGGGAGGAGCCGCGCGGGGCGCTGATGCCGCAGGGCGCGCCGCGGAGCGCCCCGGAGCAGCAGAGTCTGCAGCAGCAGCAGCCGGCGAGGAGGGAGCAGCAGCAGCGGCGGCGGCGGCGGCGGCGGCGGCGGAGGCGCCCGGTCCCGGCCGCGCGGAGCGGACATGTGCAGGCTGGGCTAGGAGCCGCCGCCTCCCCCCCGCCCAGCGATGTATTCAGCGCCCTCCGCCTGCACTTGCCTGTAAGCGCCCGCGCGCGGGGCCGCCTACCCTGCCTGGCCGTCTGTCCGTGTGCCTGTGACTCTGTCTGCCCGCCCGGCCGTTCGTCTGACTTTCTGACTGCGTATCGGTCTGTCTGTCTGCGCGCCCCCCTTCCTCAAGTCCCACTGACCACCTCTCCATCTCTCTTCCGCAGGTGTTTACACTTCCTGCTGCTGTGCTTCCAGGTACAGGTATGTGGGATCCTGACTCTGACCTCCCCCTGCCCCTGCCTCTCGGTACAGGTCGACCCCCCTACCTCGGGCCGCGCCCCCTCCTTGTGCCCCACCCCTAATGGGCGCCGAGCCAGTGCACCTGTTCCCAGGGCGCCAAAGGGCGGCTCCGCGCGCGCCCTGCGCCGGCGGGGGACCAGCCAAGGGCAAGGGGCTGTGCTGCAGGGCTCAGACTGGCGCGGCCCCTGTCGGCCTCGGCTGGGAGGGATCCCCGGAGCCGGCGGACTCAGCCGCTGCAATGTGCCCAGCTCCAAGCCCCATGCCCACAATCGGCGAGGAGTTGGGACCTGGGCGCTTTTTTCTGCCAACCGTCCCTTAATATCTCCGCTCGCTCTTCCAAACAAAAAGGCTCCTTTCAGCCGAATGGATTTTGAGTCCAGGGAGAAAGCTTCAGTTGTAAATTACTCTGTGGTTTCAGAGGCGTTTGCAGGAGAGAGAGGGAGAGAAAGAGAGAGACAGAGAGAGACAGAGCGTGCTAGGAGACTGGGTGAGAGGTAGCAGATACCGGCGATTGGGCTGAGGGGCCGTTGCCCTTGAAGCCTCTACGGAACTGGCCACCGTTCTGCACACCCTCGCTCAAGGTGGTGCAGCTCTCGGCTTGTTCCCCGCCTTGCTCCCCGCTCGCTCGCTCGCTTGCTCGCTCTCTGTGAATCAGAAGAGGGCTTGGCGCTCAGCCTGGAAAGCACTTGCTAAAATCTGATCTGTTACTTCAGCAGCTTTCAGACTCGGGAAGGTCTTGGCACGCAGACAGTTGGAACGCTCTGGCTTCCAAAGCCGTGGAAATGAAGGAAGGGGGGGGGGCAGAGAAAGAGAAGAGGGAAAGAGGGAGCGACTTCAGCCCCGATTAGAACCAGACCAGGGCTGCCTCAGCATGGTTGGGGAGGGGGGCAAAGGGAAAGGGAATAGGAAGTGCCAGCTGCCCCAGCCCCCCCCTCCCCCCACTTAGAGCTGCAAGGGAGGGCCCTAGAAGGAGCTGGATAGGGGCCAAAAGAGATTATCTGCCCCTTACCCCCTGGGTTGAAGGCAGGTGTCCGCAGGGTTCTAGAAGATGCTTAGGTTTATAGCTTTGTGGGTTCCGGAGGTGCCCAAAAAGAGCCTTGAGCAGGGAAAATGGTGGCTCTCCCAGCTTTACAGCCTAAGGAGGGCTGTGAGTGTTGAGTGCTGTTGAGACTCAGCAGCCTCTTTCAGTGTTTGGTGTGGTGGCGGGTCTGCTTACCTACCCTTCCACTCCTGGGAGGGGATCCTTAGCATCAGGATGGACACTGGGCTGGAGGCAGCTAGGTGGGGCTGGGGGTTGTAAGGATGGATGGATGGACAGACAGACGGACTGCTGGGTTCTTGCCTCCTGTTAGTCAGGCTGGGGTCCCCAGTGACTCCTTGAATCAATATAACTGGAGTCAGTAACTTAAAACTGGCTGTTTGCCAAAGCAGATGTGACCCTCTGGTGGTGGGGGGCAGGGGTGGGGAGTAGCTGGTGTCAGAGAGAGAGGCCAGTGCCAGGCATGGCCTGCCTGGTTTACAGCTGAGTCCCCAAGCAGAGGGCAGGTCCCAGGATCACCCCGAGGGATCTGTTGGTCTTACCTGGATGGGAGCTCCTTTCCCTCAGTGCTGTGCCCTGGGATGGGGCAATGTTGAAACGGGCATTGGAGGCAGAGGGATGGCTGTGGACTTTGTTGCCCCAGCCTCCTGCTGCTGGCTGCCCCTTGGTCCTTAAAGCAGGGCTCAGAAGGGGCTGCAGTGTGGCCTTTGTATTCTCTGGGGAAGCATGAGGAGGGAACTGGGACTCTGCATCCTACCTCCTGGCCAGAGCCAGAGCCAGCCTCTCAGGGAAGAGCTGGGTGGTACATCTGGGTTAGGGCTTCCAGCAGGTGATGGAGCCTCCTCTCCCCACTCTCATACCTCATCCCTTCTTGGCAGCCTTTCCCCATCCGAACTGCCATAAGGCTGATGCATTTAACCCATGGTCCGTGCACCCAGAGAGCATCTAACGATGGGATTAAGTGCGCTTATGTCTTCCAGAGGACTCTCAGCTCTCTGCCGATTTTCAGAAGCACCTAGGATTCCTAAACAATAAAGAAACGGTGGCCTTCTGTCCCCATTCATGCTCTAGGGAGTGGCCATGAACCTTAGAGATGAGGGGTGGGAGTGTTGGCTGCTGGGAGTGGTGAGGTCCGCCCCCTGCTGAGGCGGCATTGGGTGGGCTCAGGAGAGCAGCCACATGCCCACAGGGTGTACTTATCAGGGATGGCGAGGGCTCCCTTGGTGAGCAGGGGTCAGGGGAGGCCTTCCTTCAGGGCGGGAAGGGCTCAGGACTTTACAAGCTGGCAGACTGGACCTGAGTCCCAGCTTCATCTTTCCTTGTTTGCAGACCGCCGTGAGTGTCAGCTTCATCATTTGGGAAACGGGTGGCTTTGAGGCTGAAGCGATACATGCTAGGTGTGGGAAAAGGTTTGGAAACTCTAACCTACCCAAGAGGGTGTGTTGTTCTGCTGGGAAATGCATGCGCCTATGCCCTTCCCTGCCCCGCCTCTGTGTTTTGGGGGACTGCTCCAGTCTTAGCAATTAGAGTTTCTGGGCTCCTCCCTTCTCCCCATCCATCAGCCCCCATCTCCAGCCGCATTTTCAAGAGAGCACAGTCAATGCCAGACACTGCCTTCCCCCACCCCTTCCCCTCTACCATGTGGTGAGCCCCGCCCTGCCCCCTCCCCCCTGCTGGCCACTCCAGGAAGCGGGAAGCTGGGAATTTAATAAAACCCCTTCTCCATACAACTTGGGACACCACGGATAGCTCAAATCGGAAGAATTTTAAAAATTTCCGAGGGGAGCAGGCGGCGTGACCAGTAAATTGCTTTTCTGCACTTGGCTGAGCGCCGACAATGACACCGGGCTGGGCCTTTCACGCAGCTTGGCCGGCACCTGCCTGACATTGTTCCTACTGCCAGGCTCGGCTAGGTCCTGGCCTTCCCCAGACAGGCCAGGCTCAAGGCAAGCCAGGGAAGGGGGGCTTCTGCCACCCATCCCTTGTCACTCTCACAGCACCACTTCCTCTCTCACCGCATGATGTGTTCAAGTTTTGAAGTTTCCTTCCACGCCCCCTCTTGGCTGACCGCCCCCCCCCCCCACACACATACACACACACCTGGCTTCCTCAGTGAGGTTTCGAACCTTTCTTCTAGTTGGCTAGAATAGGAAAGCCAGAGAGTCCTTTGGGACGTGAGGGTGATGGGAAGCTATTCTGCTGGTTAGCACTTTTAATTTCTTAAGGCAGCAACATTATCCATCTGCCCATCCAGTCAGGTATTCATTCAACAAATACTTGCCGGACACCTGCTTCTTGCTGGCCCTGGGAACACCACTAGTCAGTTTCTGGTCTCCAGATGCACCCAGTCTGGAGGGGAGAGGGCCAGAGAACCCTGAATTCCTTGAATCCTGCCTCCTGAGAAGTGCAGGGAGGCTGGCGTATCCAACCAAGGAAGACTCCAAGGCTCTTGCGTCGGGAAGCTTGTTTCCTTCTTCCTACTATTCTTCCTCCTGAAGTAGGAGGGGTGATATTTCCACGTGACAGTTGGAGAAACTGAGGCAAAGAGTGGGGAAGGAATTTGTCCAAGGCCAATGTCAAGACTCAAGACTCTGGATTCAAGACCTTGTATTCTTTCCACGGCACCAGATGGACTTTTTCAGAAAGAATAAGGAAATTATTCAGAAAGAATACTGGTGGGGAAGTGGGGTACCAAGAGGCATGCTAGGTAGGGTTCCTCAGTGAGAGATTCCCCTGGGATCCTCATGATAGGGTCTCCATCATCCCGGAGGGTCAGAGCCCGAGTGGGTGTCTCCAGTGGAGGGCACCTGACTCAGAATCTGCGGTGATTTTCCTGGAATGTTCTGGACTGAAAGGAAGACCGCCAGCCTGCTCCCCTCTTGTCGCACAGCCTTACCTTTGCTTGACGACCTTGGGCAAGTTTCTTACCCTTTGGCTCTCAGCTTCTGCACGTGTAGAATGGGAAGAAAACAACCAACGTAACAGTCCCTCCTTCTTCCTAAGGGTGCGAGCGGGGGCCAGTGCAGAGCCTGGTCCTCTGCCCAGGGCTCTAGCCCCCGTGCCTCTTGTTTGGGGAGGGCTCCTTGGCCCCCACACCCCGGTCAGTGTAGTAAGCTCCCCTTCCTTCCCCAGGGTGCTGTCACCTCCTGGTGACTAGGACAGGGGAGATGTGGGTTGTTTCCTTTCTGAGGGCGCGGGCTTTCTGGTCCATCTCTGTGTGCTCTGCGTTTTTTACTACGTCCGGTTGCCCCCCACTCACAGGCCAGCAGAACGCTCAGGGATAGGGCAGTGCCAAGCGCCTTGCCAGGGTGGCCCGGGCCGGGGGATACCCACCGGGCCTCAGGAGGGGCTGAGGCCTGTCGCCTCCACTTTGGGCCTGAGTCGGGAACTTGTTCTGGAACATCCGTGGGTAAATGGGCCCTGCAGGCTTTAATCAGGCTTGCTGGCAGGGACCAGGAGGTATTTGGGTATTACTGCTTCGACATCTAAATGACATCGTACCATGGGCCATTCAAAATACTCCCGTGCCAAAGGTAGGGCTAAGGACAAGCCTCCTGTGGGCCACAGAGCAGAAACACCCCCAGGACCCGTGGGATCAGTCCTGGATTTGTCACTGGCTCATTGGAGGACTTCCCTCCCTGGGCCCCAGTTTCTCCACCTGGGTATCAGTGAGGTGAGCTAGAGGACTTCTGTGGAGCTTGAGCACGTGGGCTTTGGCCTAGGAGAGACCTAGGTTTGAATTGTGTGCTGCTGGGCAAATTTCTTCGCCTTCAACAATTTGCACTTCAGTTTTCCCCGTCTGTAAAGTGGGGGTAATGAGAGAGACTTACTTCCTTTTTTTTAAATGTTTATTTTCTATTTATTTTTGAGAGAGAGAGAGCAGGGGAGAAATAAAGAGAGAGAGAGGGATAGAGAGAATCCC